GTAATACATTTACATATGTATTATTTTTGACACCATAAAATTTAACAATTTAAATTTATTTAATATACACAACATATGTTGGTTACAACTGATTACATGTAATTCTATTAAAACAAATAAATTTCCCAGTTCACTTACATTGAGTATGAGGTCTTTGGCAGCTTCAGTGAGACAGAGATAAAAGTTTTCCCCATACCTGAAGTCATAATCATACACCAGCAACAACTCCTCTCCATCATAACTCTAATGGAGGAAGAGAGAGAGAGAGGGAGGGAGAGAAAGGGCAAAAAGGTCACAAATGTTATGATGAGTGTTATCACATGGACAAGAAGCCACTCAATGTCACTCAGTTATTAATATTATTAGCAACAAAAACACAAAATCAAGTAGTTCACTAAATCAGTTCCTTACTTATTATTAGTATACCACTCAATGGCCTCAAGAATTGTTACATTATACATGTAAAAGGATGTATCAAGCATGCACGCATACATGTACATGTAAAAATAATAATAATACATTATACAGTATATGTACATGTATTCCTTTATTTGACAGGTGTGTATCTCATTATGGCTGCTATATCTTCTAATGAAGGTATTTGTCTATACTTACTTGTATCTTGTCTTTCAAGTGGTTTAAAGTCACTAACAGCAGCTCTGTTCTTAATATCCTCCAGGAGAGACGCTTTAGTGATTAGTATATTAGGAGTCTATTATTGCATATTAGTAAGCTAATTAGTATATTAAGCCATATCAACTGAACAGACAATATCACAGAAACAAAAATCGCTATAACGTAAAGAAAACAACACAAATAAAAATAATTAGAAAGATTAAGGGAAATAAGTAATAATAAATCAATCCACAAAATGTCAGGTACAAATCGTCTGGACAGTTAGAATTGACATTTTGAAACAATAATGTAGAATCTATGTTGCAGTAAATTGAGTTGACTGTAAAAATAAATATATTCAATGGAAGCTATACATTACAATAGTCTGACTGACCTCATTATAATCCTTTATTAGTTTATTAGCACACCTCGTGATGTCACAGTATCATAATCATTTAATATTTCAACAAGCCATGGAAATAATGATCCATCAAAAGTAAAAGCATCTTTCAATTCGTCAAGTAGTTTATCCATTCTTTGGTCTTCAGACCGTCCAGTCATAGTGTCACTGACTATACTTCTTCTCTTGTCGTTGGTGATAACTTTTCTTTCTTCCATTTTGGCAGCTAAGTACTTCAAATCAATATGCTTTCGTAACAGAGCATTGTTTTTAGACAAAACTTCATTTGCAACTAAAAATTAAAAAATCTTTCATGCAAAATAAATAGTTGTATAAGCACTACTGTTATTTTGAACACAAAAATTATTACAATTGAAAGTTATGATGAAACGATTTAATGGTCCACCATGGATATTTGAGCAGGGTTTATGATATAGTCATGGTTTAAGGTTTTAAAGTATGGCAAGAGATGATAATTAATAGCAAGAGTACATGTACTCTTGTTAATATTTACCTACATGCATTGCTAAAAATTTAGCTGTAAAAATGTACATATGGCAAGGGATGATAAAAAATGAATCACCCACAGATTTAACCCTTAGTACACATTATGATAATAAAGATACCAACAAGAGTAAATTTTTCAATTTGACTTCTCTAGCATAATGCTGCATGCATATTTTCAGTTATACCTTTAATGTTTATGGTTGAGCTTGAAATTAATGATACTACATTAGTTTGTAAAGCACCATTTTGATGTTCTCTATCAGACTGCCTGTTAGTAGCAGCACCAGTAGTAGAGCTAGAGTCTAAATAAATCAAATTAATTAATTAATCATTTAAAAATATATTTTATATTTTAATTTTATAAAGGGGTACTTACTGTGATAGGACTTTATTATTTTGGAAGCATTTATTGCATTAATATTATAGCCTTCCCATCAAATTTCACGAAGTTTTTGTTATTCTGCCAAAATTTTTTTGCATGTCTAAAAATTTATAATTTTTATTGTCCCTAAAATTTTAATTATTTTGTAAATTATTAAAAGGAGACTTTTCTGTAGGCACTTGGAGTTAGGAGGTAATTTGTTTCGTAATCCAAGACCAGCTGTACTGGCAAAAGGTACTGCTAGTTTACTGGAGTATCTCAGAGACAGGATACCTACTTAGTAATAGTACAGGTACACTTGTGTGTGTGTGTGTGTACATGTACATGCATACTGTGTACATGTGTTATTGGAAACATTTAATGTATTAATATTCCATTTATTGTTATCATTAGGTTATGGTATACTGTTACTGT